AAAAGTAGGAAAAGTAGGAAGTATGAGGGAGCGAAATGGGCCCCACCCCGCCCATTTCCGTGAGGTCCTACCTCTCCACAATGGAGCTACGACCCCTCCGAAGCCCCATAGGGGACCGTGTTTTTTTTTGTTTTTTTTTGAGGAAAACCCCCGAGTCCTGCGGCTTTCGCGCACAGGACTAGGGGGGAAAAACCTCAGGAAGGGAAGGAAGTCGGGTCGAGGGACAAGAAAAACGCACAAGGGGGTAAGGTGAAGTTAAACGCGAAGAAGCTAAGATAAGTTAAACGCGAAAGGGACAAGTTAAACGCGAAAGGTCTGCCCTTAGTCAAGATTCACCGCAACGAAAGACCGCGGGCGTAGCACCCAGCGAACCCTTGCGGGCACGCCGGGACATCCGGAAGGACGATATTTAACGCTACAACCTCCGTCCCTTCCCACGGGCGAGCCCAGTGGGTTAGACGTAAGGAACCACGCCCGCCGCCGGCGGGGGGCCCCGTTAGCCATCGATCCCCGCGCAAAATGTCTCCGACAGAGGGTGACTTTATACTAGCGGGTGCTCAATAGCACCCGCACCTACCCCAAGTGAAGTGACCCCCAAGCACAAGCACAAGTAGGACTTTACCCAAAGTCAACGGACTACCCCTCCGACCTCCCCACGGACAAATAGGATCGTCTCTACCCACACAAGTGCCCAAGGGTCAAGACATGTTGGAGCGTTTTTAGCAAAGCGAACAAATTATACTAAATACGCGAGAGCTAGACACCTGGCTAGATTCACTATACGAAAGACCATGGCCGTAGATACCCTAAGGGGGCTCAAGGCCCCCGTCGGGAGACCCATAAGGTCCTGTTGCGGCCACAACTTGGGCCACCAACCACTGAGCAAGCTCAGCGGAAGAGGCGGAAGGGCAACCCCCGACACCATGGTCTTAAGTCTAGCTGCACTAACCGGATGACTACTCTTATATAACTACTTGAATTAATATGCTCGACCCGACCAAAGGAATAGGAAGTGTAAGACAAGCACAATAGAAAGTGAGAGGGAACAGAGTGAAATGAGAAATTAGAAAGGAAAATAGAATTTGAGAAGTCAAGAAATAGAAATGTAAGGAATAGAGTTATATAAATAGAGAAGAAACAAGGACAGAGATAAGTGAGAATGTAAAGAATGAAATATAAAGAAATAAGGAAGTAAAGAAGAAATAAATAAAGAAGAAAAAGAAGGTTGTAAATGGATATAGAAGTAAGAAAGTGAGAATAAGGTAATAAGAAAGAAATGAATATAGAAATAAAGAAGTGAAGAAGTAGAAAAGTAAGGAATAGAGTTATAAACGTGGAGAAGAAATTAGGAAAGAGATAAATAAGAAAGTGAAGAATGAAAGATAAAGAAATAAGGAAGTAAAGAAGAAGTAATATAAAAATAGAAGAAGGTTCGAAATGGATATGGGGGGTGGTTCCAAGAAACCAGTATAAGAGACCGGCTCGAGGAAGAATGAGCGCTCCGAGTTCGGGTACTGCCTCGAGCGCTCCCCCCACTCTCCGCCATCACCCACTCGCCGAGTCCTGCCGCGACGAATTTTCGCGCACACAATTTTGGGCAACTTCCAGTATTTCTGAATATGCTTGGCCAGAATTTCCGATTTCTAAGTGTTAATATTTTATTTTATTGATTTAATTAATTATTTTAATGTTCCAAACACCTAATTTATTAATAGTTCAATATGAACGTAATTTATATTCGATATTCTACAATTCAATTTTTATCTACTCCGTACATTCTGCGAGATTTTGATTTAGCCTCAATTTTACATTTTGAATAAATTTTGAAAGTAAATCAGGATCCAATAATATTTAGTAGTATTTGGAAAGCTTTATACAATTTTTTGAATTTTCAATATTTCTGTCCAACTAATTTTTTTCTTCTTATTCCTTTTTGGCTTTACGCCCTCATAGAGGGCCAAATGCCAGGAAATCATCTGCCACTACCGTGCTTCTGTACGAATGCTTATGCTTTTGTCTTACCTACATGAAGTTAGCACTGATGAAACATTTTTCACAAATTGAGGTTCTACACGAGTGTCAAGTTGGCACCGCACTTTCTTAAAAATGTCTCAAAATGATTTCAACAATATGCTTTTCCAATAGTTCTTGAGAAGTTCTGTAGTTCCCAGTCTCGTTCTAAGGGTGGCTGTGGGAACCAGCAGTGAATAGCGGAGAACTCTGCCCGCCAAGCTACACGTTCGTGTTCACGTTTAGCTCGGTTACGACGGGATTCGCATTGTCGACGGAGGCGACGATCACAGAATCCTACTTCCAGACTCGCCGCAGCATCTCCCTACTCGTCTCTGCCTAAAGTTATAGCGTTGTGAATCTCCCTACTCATCTCTGATGCTTATCCCAAGGGAAATATATCTATTGCCTACTTACGCGTGGCGCTATCTGTCTTTGTTTGCACGAAGCTTCTTGACCATTTTTTTTGTCTGTATGTTAAAACAGCTCGCACGTCACGCGTAGCGACATCTCACTCAAGTCCTATCAAGCTTTCAGAATAATCTAGAAATTAATCGTACTTGAAGTTATACATATAGAAAAATTGTACGATATTGCTAAAATAATTAAATCTACTCGCAATATTTTATAGCTCGATGATATATAAAATTTAGAATAGAAAATCTCAAATCTAATTTTTAGTCACCTACAGAACATTCTAGAATACCGTCCTCAGATTGAAAACCATAATCCAACATAAAAGTCCACCGATTTATTTGGACGTGAAATCATAAAATATCTTTACTCCCTTATAAAATTCCACGAATACTCTAAATACGCTGCCATATATCTATACCAAATAATAACACACGTCCACTATTTGTTCAAGGTTAAAAAAGAGGGTTAAGTTCCGTACTAAGGCGTCACATCCGTTAATACAGATTTCCAGGTAGTTAATATCTAGGTAAGATTAGTCACTGTTATTTCTACGGAGCGTAGGAAGGGTGTCAGGAAGTCGCCAGATGTAGATAACGCGATATTATCAACGCGACTGCTTTTATTGACCAAATACTTGAGAAAAAAAAAGTAAGACTTCGATTACCAATTCGAAGAACTAGACACGTATCGCACTTTCACGTATTTCATGTTCTCCTGAAAATTTCAATCCCACTAAAAGAAAATATCCAGGAGGATAATCCATAAGGATATCTGAAGCCTCTAAAGTAGAAATGACAAAGCTTCGCTTTAATTGAATATGAAAAATTAAGTCCAACGGATACAACAAATAAGTTCATCGATACATATTTGTATTTTATGTAATTTACCACAGATGGCACTGCTAATCATTTTGAAAGTGGAGTATGCGTGTACCAGCGTAGCAAAGGTGCTGATTATCTTGGATAATTCCATAATGATTTTTAATGCCAATTACAAGAAGAGAACATGATCCCCCATATCAATCAATCGAGACACCCGCATGACATAAGAAAAATTGTACTGCGATAACAAGAATCGTTTACAGCTATCTCATTCACTGTGGAATAACAAAACAAAGAATATAAGAAATGACGTAACAGTAGCGTCATAGCTTGCATGTTTAACCAGTGCAGTTTCAGATTATAACTAGAAATACCAATATAAGTAGCGTGCTCTATAATAGGAGATTAAGTAATGGTTACTATAAACGAAATTTACACAACTGTATGTATATATCAACACTGTACGTAGCAAGTCTGGTATTCGCTTGCTAAGCATTAGTATTCAAAGTGCGAGACTAGTGTGACCTCGTGAGGAGAAAATTCGCAAAGTATCTCAAACAGGAAGTAGCAAGTGTATCATGGCAAGAAGAATGTAGTCGTACGTTTATAAAACAAAAAAAAAAGACAAAAAAAAACAGAAACAGCGACAAATGTAAAATAAAAATAGCTCAATAAAAGTTCGATTAATAAATCCAAACGCAATACTCTATTGTTCCCCGGAAATCCTATATATATACAAAATATTATTTATAGTTTTGATATTTAAAAAATTCAAGAGTATATCAGCGTACGGAATAAATTTGTATGTTTCTATACGATATATTTGTTTTATTTTTGGCAGGAACTTTTTACTGTGTTTCGAATCTTTATGACGCAGCAGCCTACCGCCACGCCGATCACCATAATCACACTAGGGTCTAATCTAAGATCTCTAATCAAGCGAGCGTTGCCAACGTGAAAATAAATTCGCGAGAAAGGTAGTATAATTATAGTAAGGGGCCGCGGCACCGTAAGATGTATTCTGAACTGGCAGCGTCGTCTCCAACGGGACTCGAGAATAGCCGTCGTTTCTTCCTAGTCCTAACGAAGTCGAGCGACATGTTTTACAGGCATGGAGTGTATCAATTTCTTTTAATTAAATTTTCGACACAGGCACCACGTAGAGACTCCACGTCTGACGTACAGTCGGGTCATCGCTTTCTAAACACTCCAAAACCCTAACGTCTGCAAATAAAGAATAGCGTTTTTGAAACTAATAAACTAATTGTAACAATTTCACTCATTAAAATGAATAAAAGACTAAGAGGACTTGTATTGGAAATGTTGTTTTACCTCCTGTCCTTATGTACTCATCCAATGGTCCCTTAAGAACAGATACCGGTATCGCCATATTCAATCGGGTGTAAAGTGCAGAATTTGAAGATGATATTGCATTGCAAACAATCATTCCTAACATTTCACCAGTTGGCCAACGTACAACTGGACCGCCACTGGTACCACTCTGAACGCAACAAGTTGTTTGTATCATACAGGATAAGCATTTGGAAACGTTGCCTCGGGATACAGTTGGTAAGTTCGACGAGAAGAATGGAAAACCTGCAGTAGCAGCGGCATCTCCTGGAGGGTATACAAAGTTATTTGACAACTTCCAAAATACAATTGGTTTTTTTATTCTATATTATGAGAGTTAATATTAATAAATTCTGTCAAATTGTTACTTTAGTATGTCATAATTTATTACTGTAATATTGATGTACCTACTCACCACGTTGGACAGGATCAGTGCCAATGGCTATATCCACCAGGGTTGGGCTAATCTCGCCAGGATCAACCTTAAGCACCGCTACGTCATAGGGCTTCCCATCAGGGGTTCTGTATATTAATCTCGCCCACGTGGAGGTTCCCCCACCTTTTTCACAATTGCTACGGTGAAGAACTTTTATCCTGCTGCGTGGTGCCTTTGGAAGTTTAATTTAAGCACGCCACTTTAATGCGTATTACCACGTCTCTCCATTTATTTTCGGGACTTACCTCCTTAACCACGTGTGAACAAGTCAGGATTGTACCGGTTTTCTTATCCAAGAGAATCCCACTACCCCAGCCAGCACCGCATTTTACAACCAAGACACTTTTATCCAATAAAACTAAAAAAAAAAGGAATCATTGTTGTTTTTTTTTCAAATTAATTTTATAAGTCAAAGACATCTTCAATTGTGAAATATAAAATCCTTCAAGATCATTTAGACACACATGATAATATTTTAAATATATGTAAGGATATGAAAAGAAAAAGTACCAGCTAATTTTGAATCCTGCTCCTTGCTATCCTTTTCAATGAGTTCTTGCGTACCATGATTTTCCAAAATTCTTTCTAAACTAGGTTTGAGGTTTGCTACAAAAGTGTAATCTACCCATTCACCACGACACCAACTCAAAGGTGCAATGACCATGCCACACAAAATTTTCTCACTATAAATAGAAGAAAAAGAGACAATTATAAAAAAATAATAAACCAAAACATGAGAAATCTTAAATAAAGTCACTTTATATTACCTATTGTTTCGTATCATATAAACAGGACCTCCCTCACATCCTGGAACAGCATTGGCATCAGTAAGGATCACAGATTTATGTGATCCTATAATATTACTAACAACACCTCTAGCGACAGAATGAATAAAGACAGGATTTCCAAAAGGTGTAGCCTGGACTTCAATATTCTGTCCACGTCCTGGAGTGACTAGGATACTGTGTAGTCTCTCGAGAACCTCTCTAACAGTACTGCCATTACCCTGAATATCTTGAAGTTGCACCAATAAAAATACAGGCAAAAGGATCCTATTCGATTCAGACAATTTATCAAAACTCCAAGTGAGAAAGACATTCTCCAGAGTATCCTTAAGTAAAGGACATTTCCAAGCAGCTACTGCACATCCTTCAGCCTGATGAATATCCTGAGGTTCTTCAGGATCACTTGCTCGGTCCTCACTGATTTGAAAATTTAACTGACATGATATATTCTCAGGTATCTCAATGATCTCTCCAGGTGTTAATAGATCCACGAAATTCAAAATACTTGTATTCCTGAATATTGCAGGCTTCATTAAGGATCCATGAGTAAGGATCCAGTTATGATCTATCAGTATTCCTGAGGATCCATAAGACTCACTTAGACGTCCTTCACCATAAGTATAAGAAACAAGAACCCCAGTGGATTCCATTGCTGGTCCTGTTAACAGAAAAACAATAATTTGTCATGAAAAAAAAATTCTAAATTTCTTTCTTTATTAAATAAATCTATTTATTCTAGTTTACCTATCTAGTTATTCATTTTATTTTAATTAATTTCATAGCTCGTCATTGCATATGTTCCACCGCGTAGAATTGAAATGGAGTTAACCAATTGAAAACGAGATTTGAGTGGAATAAACTAACTCGATTGGTTAACTCTATTTCATCCCTGCATAGTGGATGGAAACATATGCATTGTCCTTATAATGATGATACACTCTCTATATATCGAAAAATTGATAAATTTGTCCTCGATAAAGATATCGATTATAGCAATAAATTGAAAGAGGTTATACAGCAATGCTGTTAACGAATTGTAGCAGCCATTACAGTTTACTACAATGAAACGGCATTAACTGGTACTTCGGAAGATATTGTACGTTTCTGACGACACATTAAAGTGAACGACACAAGCCAATGTTCATTTATTTTTTTTCTCCCTCTTCAATTCAATTATCCGCCACTGACACTAAAGTATACAATTTCAGCGTCGTACAGAAAGCTACGGTCGCCCGAATGAATCCTCAAGGATTTACCAAGAACTCCAGACCCAATTACTCCGAAGTAAAAATAATACAAAACTCGTATGCTACGTGCAGCGCGTCACAGAACGTACGAGAAGTTGGTAAAAAGATAACTAAAGGAAAAAGTAAATCAACCAACGAAAACTAAATTTCAGAAAAATTCCAAAAAATGGAAACATCACGAGTCAAGCTCAAAAATAATAATGAGTCATCGTAACGCACGTGCTACTTGGCAATCTCGTAAGGTACAGTCGAGGATACAATTATATATCCTCTAATTAAACGACTGAAATGGGTTAACGACGATCGCAGAGATCGGACGATCACGTGTCGTCTGACGTAATATGCGCCATACTCTATATGTAGCTCAAACATATATTTTTTACTTATTCAAGAATCCTCCGTTTATTTATCATGATTATCCCACGTTGTTTAACTTTTTTTCTCTTCCGTCATCACTCCATTCCAGGGAAAATGACTGGAAGTAATTCCATCTGTCATTTTTTCCGTCGTCGTATTCATAAAGATACGAGATCGGTGGAGATGACGGATGATGATTTCGGTTGATTGAAACAAAAAAAATTAAACAAGCAATGACTGGGTCTTATGATTACGATGATTTGATAATTCCGGGAATAACTAATTAGGTCTATTAAATGAGTCCGATTAATTTGATCGAGAGAATTTTGCCAAATATACTGTTGCGATGGTTAAGAATTATTAAAATGATCTATGATCTCTGATGGTCAAGTACCGATCATGGGTCCATGGAGTTTATCTCGTTCGTTACGTCATGACTGTCTTACTGTTCCGCGAAGAATGACCAAGACGAGAATACGGATACGTATAGTACTGATTAATTATATTGAAGAAAATTGACAAAATTGACTGGAAAGGAATTAACGTGGAATGTTGGAATGCTGGAATGATCGGTATCACTTCTTTTAATCGTTACGTCACGATGATCATGGGACAATTTCGTAGAAATTTAATTCAAACGAGCCCCAGCCTTAATGTCTGGAAAATTTAGTAAGACTAATCAGAAAGTATTAGAATCATACACAGCAGATCAGATCAATGATGATGACTCTGATGATCTATGACATTGATAAAATGATCTATTAATGATCTAACAATAATTAAATACGGATGACGTCACTCATAAGAATGATCTGACAGTTTTATGATCATAACAGGAATAACTAATAATAATAATGACAATTTCATAGTAAAATATTAATTTCTCAAATGCTAATTAGACTGATCAATCAGGTCAAAAATCAGTAATCGAGTTTCGATAGGTCTAGCAATGATGGAAGTGCAAGGTCAGATATGTAGATTGTAAAAATATAAGGATCGAGAAGAAAAAGAGGAGGAGGAAGTACAAGGAGATGTAGAGGAGGAAGAAGAAGGAGAGCGGTAGGTAGTGGGAAACAAGAGCAAAGCAGAAGAGGCACATCCTTGATCTTGTCAAAGATTAGCAGCTCCAGCAGCCGGTCCGGCGATCGACGTCGAAGATTGCCGGTATATCGCAGCATTCGTTTTCGTCCTTAAGACTTTGGTTCTCGTGAAAACGATTACCCTCGGCAACGCAAAGGGATACAATAGAATTTTGAAAAAAAAAACAGTACAAAAATTTAAAATTATTCACAGTTTTTGAATGCTTTGGAAATAAAATTATTGTTCGAAAAGTAGTATCCATACTTCGCTACCGTGTGGACAGATTGATACCGAGTAAAATGTATATAAATAAAATAGACGACGAATGATCTGTCGTGATTAAACAAGCCGGCCATGATCAGATAGATCTCTTTACCTTACAGTAAGGAATCACATGCCGTATAAAAAAAAAATATCTAGATTTACATACAAGATAAGAAATGGATTAAAGACGCTCTTGATATAATTCAATCCTAATATAGCAGCCAGTCAGAAATCTTGTATATGATACATGAGAAGATATTTCATAGTTAATGGTCTGACTGGACCAGTTTTTGTCCGGCGAACGTAGACCGCTTGGCACCAGAACGTAACGGGATTAATAGAGGCCTAAACAAATAAATAAAAATAATTCTCCAGATTAAACAAAACAGCCGTCGTCGTTCGCGTGTATATCGACCGATCTAAGCGAGCCTAACCTAACCTAGCGAAAGGAGAGGAGAACGCAGCCCGGACACGTGCAGCACATAAATAAGTAAATGATAGTAATAAAATAGTAGTAGAATGAAAATAATATTCGGGCAAAATGCAGCTAAAGAAACCTCAAAGAAGTAGCCATGATGATAGTCAGCGAGCGAGTGGTAACTGTCGAATAACGTCAGCCTTGAGAAGACGCGGAACAAGGCCCGAACGCGGTATTCGGCTGAACTCGGTGAATTCCGTGAACGTTCGCGAACCTTCGGACGGCTTCGGGTGAGTTTGGCGGCGCAGCCGATCGGGCCCCAACGTTTATGGTTACCGCGCGACTCGTAACGTGTTGCTGACTTTCTGCAACTTTCCTGGGGCACGATAGGCCATTATCGTATCGCGCCACAATGAGATTCGCAGGTGCGAGGTGAAGCCGATGGCGGCGCGGGGACTTGTTTATCTTACCGAGAAATCTTTGGCCGCGCGGCATCTTAACGAACGGAAAAGGAGGAGTAGAGGAGGCACATACGAACAGCGACGACGTCTACAGGAGGAAGAAATGGGGTAGGAGGAAGGATGCCGATGGCGAAGGCGTCGCTTGCAGGAGGCGACTGCCAGAACTTGCGAAATAATATTGAGACAAGGAGAGAGGGTTGTACTAGTCTTATCTAACCTGGCGTAACCTCAAAGGAGTACATACCTCTTCATTGCAATAAGTATAGGAAACGATTATCAGTGAGTCCAGACGTATTTACTTGTAATACACTAGCATGATTTCTATTAATAGGTTCGAGGGAGTTTAACGTGTCCTCCCCACTCCTGGGCCTGTCCAAAGTCTGGCGCGCAATTCGAAAAAAAAGAATGCGTCTATAATAGACATCGCAATCCCCAACTCCGAGTGACGTTTCTTGGAATCAGAACACTCCGGGAATCTAATTCGACGTTAATGAGACGGAACGCGAGGAATGAAACGTAAGCGGTGCTATATTAACTTACATAGAAAGCCAGTGTCTCGCATGGTACAGTTTAAAATTGGGTATGTAGTATTTTAACAGGGAGAAATCAATCCCAAAAGTGCAGAGAGATGAACAGTTATCGCAGCTATTTCTAGGACCTTGTACTCCAGATATACATAGATACCAAAAGGAATACGAAGAGGAAACAAGAAATGACTTTGGTAGATTAAATGGAAGCTGTTAAAAAAACCAGTACAGCAACGTTTAGCCATCAGAATGAATGAGAAGTCCCAGCAGCTGCGACTGAGGCTAGTCGCCTAGACAGCGTGGCAGCGACGCCCGAACCGAAATAAAAGACGTCTCGGGGACGCTCTTTGGTCGTTGGCGTCCCTTACGCTACTCTGTGATAAACGTATGTATCAACATACACGTTGTATAATTCTAGCTACAAGCATATAGATACTGAAAATAGGAATATATGCTGTCTAATTTCATTTTTGTTTCAGAATTATTAATCTTTAAATACAGAATGGATTGTTTTATTGGATTTTTATTGAGCAAGTTTCTTCATCTTTATTAGGGATGATAAATTAATATGGACTGACAATGGGTTAGGCATTGCTGTACTGTAGTCATAGGAGTGGAGACACTCTCTTGCATTGGAGTAAGCGCATTTATTGCAACCGCGCAGTTGCTGCAAGAATGTGGCTACGAAGCCGCCATTGGGCCTTACTCTCTTTCTCTTTATTGAGCTCTAACTCCTCAGCTCGGGCCCTCCTTTCTATATATCTCGTTCCTATCTATTGCTGGAATTGTCATTCCTTGCATACCGTGAAATCTCAATTGGATTAGATATAGACAGTTGATGCAATGCTGGGTAATCTTTATTTTTTTTTCTTTTTAAATTACATTGTCATATTTCAAGTACAACGTAGGTAGGAAAAATTCATCAGTAAATGAGCACCTTGTAAAACGTTTCCAGCGAATAGGCACTTATGTTAAAATCACTATACATAGGTATAATTTATGTGAACTCGTCTATTTATTGAAAGAGTCATCCGACATTTAAAAGATTCGCGAAAAATCGAATCTTTACACGTGCTAGGATAACGTAAACTATGAATTTTCTTAGTATTGCCTAATCGTGGGTATTCGAGAGTTTCAGGAAAAATTTGAAAGTTCCCAGTTTCCGTGTAATTCTATTTCTGCTTTTTGCGTCTTTCACATATTTTTTATAACCCGCTGCATCGAACCATAGTTAACTAGAACAACCCCCTGTGGTTTATTTCTTGGTTTCTCTCATCCGGTCTCCAATTTCAATCAACTGAATA